GCAGCAGCAGCAGCAGCAACAGCAACAGCAGCAACAGCAGCAAAGAAATCAACTGCTGGCTTCATAAGCTGCAACAGAGGGAACAGCATGCAGCAGCAGCAGCTGCTGCTGCTGACGTGGCTGCAGCGGCTTTCTACGGCTTTCGCCATCAACAGCAACTTTGCTGCTGAGACAACGCAGCAGCAGCAGCAGCAGCAACAGCAGCAGCAGCAGCAGCAGCAGCAGGGATTCACAGCTACTGGGCTGCTGCAGCTTCAACGCAAGCGGCTGCTGCCCGTGTGCTCGCTGCTCGGTGTTGCTGCAGCAGCTGTTGGGTGCCTCCGCAGCGGCTTCCTTGCTGCTTGTGTTGCACTGCAGCAGCAGCAGCAGCAGCAGCAGCAGCAGCAGCTCCTGCCGCAGCTGCTGCAGGTGCTGCAGGGACTGGCGGAGCAGCTGGGGGCTGATGGCCGCCCCCGCGCAATTTCAACTTTGCTGCTGCCGCAGCATCTGCTGCAGCGGCAGGTGCAGCAGCGCATGCAGCCGGTGCTGCTGCTGCTGCTCTGCGAGCTCAGGGACACAGCACTCTTCTCCTTATCAGAAGCAGCAGCAGCAGCAGCAACAGCAGCAGCAGCAGCAGCAGTGAAACACATGTCGCCGCTGCCAGCAGCTCCCGTTCACCTGGAAGATCCGCAACAGCAGCAGCAGCAGCAACAGCAGCAGCAGCAGCAGCAGCAGCTGCAGCAGCAGGAGACAGCAAGCGAAGTGCTGCTGAGCAGCAGGCAGAAGAAGCTGCAGCAGTTGCTGTTTGCTGTTGCACTGGAGGAGATGTGTCTTTGTACATCAGACAGCCGCAGCGAGGAGCCTTCAAGCCCTTCTCTGCTGCAGCCAGCTGGTGCTGCTGCTGCTGCAGGTGCTTCAGCAGCAGCANCAGCAGCAGCACGCTGCAATGCAGACACCTGGTGGAGCTGCAGTGTTATCTCGCGTTGGTTGCTGCTGCTGCAGTTGCCTACATGGGGAGCAGCAGCAGCAGGTGATGCAGCAGCAGCAGCTGCTGCTGCTGCTGCTGCAGATACACCGCAGCAGATCCTCGAGGTTTTCTGCAGATGCATGCAGCAGCTGCAGCAGGGATTGGTCCCCCTGAGAAGGGCTTTGCCGCGTCTCCCCAGCCTGCAGCAGCAGCTGCTGCAGCTGTCTCCTCAGGTGCAGCAGCAGCTGCAACTGCTGCAGTTGTCGCAGCAGCAGCAGCAGCAGCAGCAACTCCTTCTTCACTGCATCGACTTGCTGCTGCGCCACCGCATCCGCCGGCTGGAGGCAGCAACGATCTTCCTTTTTGCTGTGAATCAGCAGCAGCAGCAACATGAGCAGCAGCATCAGCAGCAGCAGCAGCAGCAGCAGCATCATCATCAGCAGCAGCAGCAGCAGCATGCAGCCCTGCTGCAGCAACTCGGAGTCCTACCGACAGAAAGGGGCTCCCCGGTGCAGCGTTGTGATTCTTTGCTGCGGGAGTTTGCTGCTGAGTGCAGCAGCAGCAGCAGCAGCAGCAGCAGCAGCAGCAGCGCGCGGCTCTTGCCAGCTACAGACGACACGCAGCTAAGTGATGTCTCCTCTCTCTTCCTGCAGCAGCAAGGGGCACGCTGCTTGGCCCTCATGCTGCAGCTGCTGCACTCGCGGCAGCAGCAGCAGCAGCAGCAACTGCTGCTGCAGCTGCTGCTGCAGCAGCACCACCCGCACCGAAACTCCTACAGCCGCAGCTTGATGGCCTTCAACGCATTTGCTGCTACATCACTCTCTTCAGACGTACGTGTTGCTGCAGCAGCAGCAGCAGCAGCAGATGTAGCAGCAGCAGCAGCAGCAGATGTAGCAGAATAGCCGCAGCAGCAGCAGCAGCAGCAGATGTAGCTGCAGCAGCAGCAGCAGGAGCAGGTGGATGTCCTGCTGAGGATAGGCTTGACAGCAGCACTGTTTAGCTCCGTTACATATGTTGCTGCTGCTGCTGCACCTGCTGCTCGCTGCTGCTGTTGCTGCACTTGCTGCTGCTGCTGCTGCTGCTGTTTTGTGTGTATGTGCTTCAGTTGCTGCTGATGCATGAGCTTCCACTGCCCGCTTTGCTGGTGCTGCTGGGCTTCGTGCTGCAGCACCTAATAGCAGCTTTTCCCACTGCAGCAGCAGCAGCAGCAGCAGCAGCAGCAGCAGCAGGAAGTCCTTCCTTCCGGCAGCGGTGGTCTATCGATGGCCAGTCCTCTGCTCCTGCTCCTGCTGCTGCTGCTGCTGCTGCTGCTGCTTCTGCTGCTGCTGACTTCACCCCCCAACATCAACGACATGCGCAGCAGCGGATGGCCTTGCGTGCTGCAGCAACAGCAGCAGCAGCAACCGCAAGGGCCCTCCAGGGCTGCTCCTGCAGCTGCAGCAGCAGCAGCAGCAACAGCAGCAGCAGCAGCAGCAGCAGCAGCAGCAGCAGCAGCAATTCAATGGCATGGAATGTTGGCCTTGCTGCAGACTCACTGCGAGTCGCAGCAGAAGAAGCAGCAGCAACCCTGTCTGGGTCAGCTGCTGCTACTGCAGCAGCAGCAGCAACAGCAGCAACAGCAGCAAATGCAGCAACAGCAGCAGCAGCAGCAACACAGTTTTGTGTGTGGGAGTTGGTGGGCTGCACGCTAGCTAGGGGTATTGGAGCTTGCTTGCTGCTGCTGCTGCTGCAGCAGGAGCCTCACTCTGTTGGCGACAGCAGCAGCAGCAGCAGCCACAAGCTGCAGCAGCTGATGACCCGCAAGCAGCAGCAGCAGCGGCACCAGATGATGGATACCCCCTACAGCGAATCAAGGTCTTCTATTTTGGGGGACCTTGCTGCTGCTGCTGCTGGGGCCCTTGTCACTGCTGCTGACAGACGCGCAGCAGCAGCAGCAGCAGCAGCAGCAAGCGCAGCTATTTGCTGCCGGTGTCTTACGGCACTAGCAGAGGCAGCAGCAGCAGCAGCAGCAGCACGACGAACCCCCTGCTTGGCGCTGCGAGCCACCCTCACACAGTAAGCCTGTTACACAGGCTCCTGCTGCTGTTGCTGCTGCTGCTGTTGCTGCAGCTCCTGCTGCTGCTGCTGCTGCTGGTGCTGTATAATTGAGGCTCTTCACCGTTGTCTGGGGAGCTGCAGCAGCAGCAGCAGCACGGCCAGCATCTGGTGCTGCTTCCAGTTTTGTTCTTGCTGCTGTTACGGCTGTTGCGACTGCTGCTACTGCTGCTACTGGTGCTACTGCTGCTACTGCTGCTGCTGCGGTTGCTGCTGCTGCTGCTGTTGCTGCTGCAGATTGTTCTTCTTAGCGCTGCATGTCTCCTTGCGAACGCACTGGGGCCTCAAAGGGCACTACAAAACTTTTCCAGGCTGTCAGTACAAAGCTGCTGCTGCTGCTGCTGCTGCTGCTGTTGCTGCTGCTGCTGTTGCTGCTGCTGCTGCTGCTGCTGCTT